CTTAGATTTGATTTAAGGATTAAGGGTGTGAAACCACTACTGGCCAGTCACACTTGAACACTCACCTGGAGACAATCAGGGATCCGAGGGGACTGTTTGAGTGACAGGAGAAAGTGACTGCAGTGTGCTGGGGAAACCTGCTTTTGTGTTTGCTCAAGAGAGGATGGAGTGCCGTCCCTGGCCACCAACCCATGTTCAGCAACCCACGTCCCTTCACTGCTGGGCTCATCAGGTAGCTGTCGCACTGAGCGCTCTCTAATACCCAGGGGTGCGTTTCGTCTCTCATTCTGTGGGCTGATTGTTACGCAGGCTGGCCACAGAAGTGCTGCTGTTTCCTGTTAACATTCACGCCCTGAGGCTTGTAAACTCTGAATCTTATCTCCGTCTCAAGCCTGAACCAACGTTCTTTCATTCTTCAACGTTCTTTCCACCATTGTATACTTTCAAAATACACCAGACGGATCACAACTGAATAGAAGAGGGTCTTGAGATAGATTCTAAGGTTCTTGTTTTGTTTTTTTGTTTTTTTTTAAAGAACTGTTTCTCAACATGCTGTTAAAAATGAAACGCTTTTGTCGACTTTGGTTACGCTATCCACAATTTTTGAAAATCAATCTTAATGTATAACTGCAGAATAATTCATTCCACTGTGATATTTCTTTTCTACAAGTTCAATCAACAAAAAGTTAATATTGAGTAACAAATTATTTTCAATTAGTCTATTTTTGCTCCACCAATGAAAATAGTTCTAAAACGAAAGCAGAAAATGCTGCAAGTCTCCAAGTGGTAGGCTATAGTTTCATTCCTTTATGAATCAGGGGTTTTTTTTGTTTTTTTTTAAGCAAACTAGCATTTTTGTAATATCTTTGCCATATCTTTATAATAAAGTAGTATGCTATTCAAAATGCTATTCCGAGTGAATCAATGACTCACTTAAAAAGACTGTGGCTGAATATGAAATTGCATACACTCTTGTTATTTCTTGCAGTGATATTAATGTGCTGAATTTAGCACTCGTTTCTCTGAGGAATGAACTTGTTTTTTAACGAATCAGAGTGGATCAATGATTCACTTAAAAGACTTGTTATTTCTTATAGTAAGATTATGCTATTTTGAATTCAGCAAGTCACACGTTTCATAGATAAATGAATCAGTATTTTTGAACAAATCGGTTGAGTGAATGATTAAATGGCTCACTATTCAAGATAGACACTTGTTTCTTTCCTGAATGAGTCAGTGTTTTTAAACAAATCAGCTGTCTGAATGATTAAATGACTCACTCACTGAATGAATTTATGATTCTCATTGTTGTCACCATGCAACGTACCCTGCAGAAAGAGGTAATGAAAAACACCATTAATGCACAGACTGACAGCCTGTCTGGAATAAATACAGTCAAGCAGAGTGATGCAAACAGTAAAAGCATTGTTAACAGCACCCATCCAGTCAAATTTAAGGAAGGGAACAAGTTGAGATACAGTGAACTCAATAGCTCTATGTAAAATTTAAGTAAATAATATAGTATTATTATTTTGGGGAGAAAATAGTTTTAAATAAAGAACATTTTGGGGCAACTTTCCATTGATTTCCCCAGCTTGAAATAAGCTTTACCCAACAACATGTAGCTTGTGTCACGCTATTCCACAAAACCACTTGTGTCTGCAGAAAATGTGCTCGATTTTTTTATCCCTTTTAAAAGTTTTGTTCATCTTCATTAGCATTCCCTCTCTTCCTCTCTTCTGCATGGCCTCTGGGTGAGTGTGATCCTGGGAGAGAGGCTGTCAGGGCCACGTGTAGTGGGGGGGGCACTGCGCTGGGTGTAAAATTTGATTAAGCGGTGGGCGAGCGTGTCCGAGCGTGGCTGTTGTGTGGACCAGCTCGCGCGGCTGTGGGTTCCCAGCGTGCCGTTTGGAGGTTAAGTGCCGCAGAAAAGACTCTCATTATCCCGAGTGAGAACTGCCCATGTGGCTGCCCGCTCGACCCGCCACTCTCTCTCTCTCTCTCTTTCCTTCTCTCCATGTCCCTCTCTGTCACTCCCTCACTCATTCATCCTTCCTTCTCGAGCTGAACTGCTGAAAGCCTCCAAAACGTTTCATTCACTTTCCCTTGACCCCTTTCGGCCCCCCTTTCCTCCGCTGTCTCTCTCTAGTCTTTATGTGTAAGAAAAGAAGTGGTACAATAGCAGAGGAAGGGCCAGTGCAGATTCTTCAGCACCCCTGTGGACTCGAGCCGAGAGCTGTGAGACAATCCACATGTGGAGCATGTGCAGGAGTTGTTCCTTGTCCATCAGTCAAAACAGGGTCCACTCGGTTCCTCTAACAGTCTTCCTCTCCATGAAGTGAGTTACGAACGTGCATTACTGTTGAATTTACTTAAAATGGGGGATTTGAACAAACCTCTAACTCTAAGTAGGCCTATTACATTTTGGTATCTCAAATTGTTTCAGGAAGTTATGTTATAATAACTTTACTACCTTTAAGTGATCGGACTTACTGATTTCTTTTAACCTGGTAGAAAATTGAAAAATCCCTATACTTAAAGGAGTAGTTCACTTTTAAAAAAACTTTTGCTGATAATTTACTCACCACCATGTCATCCAAGATGTCCACGTCTTTCTTTCTTCAGTCGAAAAGAAATTGATTTCTGATGAAAACATTCCAGGATTTTTCTCCTTATAATGGACTTCAATGGGGACCAAACGGTTCAAGGTCCAAATGAGATATTCATTACCGTTTCAAAGGGCTTTAAACGACACCAGACGATGAATAAGGGTCTTATCAAGCGAAACGATCGGTCATTTAAAAAATAAATAAAAAAGTTTACGTTTTATAAGCACAAATGCTCGTCTTGCTCTGTTCTGTGATGAGCATTCGTGACTCTCCTGTTCATACTCGTTCATCAAAATGAACAAATCTTTTTTTTCAAGTCATGACTCGAAGGGTCCTAGATAAGACCCTTATTCATCGTCTGGTGTTGTTTAAAGCCATTTGAAGTTTGCACTGAAACTCTCTTTTGGACCTTGAACCATTTGGTTCCCATTGAAGTCCATTATATGGAGAAAAATCCTGGAATGTTTTCAACAAAAAACATATTTTTTTTTCGACTGAAGAAAGAATGACATGGACATCTTGGATGACATGGGGGTGAGTAAATTATCAGCAAAAGTTTTTTTTAAAAAAGTGAACTACTCCTTTAACTTATCATCTCTTTATGAGCATCCATTTGTTAACAGTGTGGCACTTAATGCATTAACTATCAATGAACAACAATTTCTAAATAATTATTTAATAATCTAAATCATAAAATAGCATTCAGTGTTAATTTATGTGTGTTCATAATAAATGTTAATTTATAGCTACTGTAAAAGAGTGGTGCCGGTTCAAAGGTGTTGTTGGTAAGGTTTTTAAATGTTTTTGAAAGAAGGCTGCATTTATTTGATCAAAAATACAGTAAAAACTTTAAAATTGTAAAATATTATTACATACCCCCCAAATCACACACAAAAACCAAAGATAGGGACATATTTTCATCTCAAGTGTATTTTTAAGCCTGTAAAACTGGCTTTATCTTCCAATGTACACTGTCATTAGGAGCAAAGCTCAAATTCAGCACACCCATGACAATTCGTTTCATTTTTCCTTTAACGTTGCGGTTCAGATCATTAGAAGGGGGATTTTTTTTCTAAAGCAATGCTTAAATGTCACAGAGCACATCTGCTCAGGCCGAGGAACTTGTGAGAACAGATCCTCAGTGTTGGACTTCCATTGTCGTTCTCAATGCTGGTGTACATTCATACGCCTCAAATATAGACACGCAATTGTCTGTCTTTAATGACATTTGATTACACTGTACCCGAAAGTATATTTAATGGAAAAATAAGTGTCGCGTTGACTGCATGTAACAGCTGAGCCTTGAGCTGAAAACACTGAAGTCGCCATAAAGGGACATACAGGACTTAGTCTCTCAGAGGAAAGCATATTGCTGTATTTTTATTAAAGTGCTGCCCTCCATAGCAAGTTTGAAGAAGGGAAGTTGCTTTGTTCACTTACTGGCTCATGAAAATGTCTTAAAGGCATTTGTGTGATGCATATGGAACACATCTTGGCTTAATCACCAGTGCTCTTGAAAGCAGATAATCCAGTCCAGTGTGCTTCTACAGGGAAGGGCAAAAACCAGGCACTGTAACGTTTGCTGAAACAAGGAATCATTAAAAAAGTAATAAAACCACATTTATACCTAAATAATATTGTCTAAATAAGTATAAAAATGCGACCCAATTCCAACATGGAGTTAATAATGTAGGCTACATGTTTGTTCGTTACTTTTCATTTACATTGACTGAATTTTAGTGTAAATGGAACAGAGCGGAAATACCCTCTTAAAAAGCAGGAAGAACAAAATTAAAGAAGTTATGTTTTTTTTCAGGTTCTATGGATCAGGACAAGCAAATGAAACTATTTCCTGGTTTATAACAGCCTCTTGTGGAGATGGTTGTCATTGCAGCTGAATTTTCATCCAAACCAAAATTTGAAAGAATTAATTTTTTTAAAACTGTGATAGTTCAAACAAGTTAAGACAATGCAAATATTACAAATTATGGAAAACCAGGTTCCAGAACTCCTGCAACACTAAATAGAACTAACTGAAGACGGATAGATTGTGTTAGTAAAACACATTGGCATGACTTAATTTGTTTATCCTCATTTTTTTTAAACAGCCTTAACATTCTCTAATCCGCAACTGACAGTAACTCATAAAATGCAGTAATTCGCTCAAAACATCCATGTTTCAAACAATTAATGCTTCAAAAAAATCGGGCTAATACCACCAAAATCAAGGTCAAACTAGTGGGAATGCTGAGAAGAATTCTAATAGAATTCTAATAGAATTCTGATCCACAGCACCCACTTTTTCTGACATTGTTGGTAAACCAATTAAATAAACTAGTGCGCTGCGCATGTAAAAAGAGTGTTGAAGAGTGTGTAGTGTTTTCAGGATTTTAATGTCTACAATTCACAGCAGCAAACATTTTATGGACTTTTATTATGAAAAATAAGACTCACTTCCTGGTCTCCAATGTTTAACAGTGTTGAAGGTGTGTATAATTTGTAATACATGTATTACATAAAACCATTGAACTACCCCCAGTAAATCATGAAATGCATTAATAACTATATTTAGTTTAAGCAGTATTTGGATACGACAACAGTACCGTAGGTTTATTTTTCTCTTGTCTCGTCTCAACTCTTGTATTTCCATGTCCGTGATTGGTTAGTAATGGTCGCGTGGGGCAACGAGGACTTCATCTGGTGTAAACGGTGCAAACAAGAGAAAGTAAAAGAAGCAGATGATCTCTCAGCGGTGAGTTAGCAGAAATGCGTTTTCAAACAGTTAATGTGTTTAAATTCTGTTTAACATGGCGCGCTTCTGAACACGTTCATGTCCTATACAAATATGATGTGTATTGCATTGCTCAGATCTATTATCAACACTAAGTGAAGATGGTCTGTGTAAAATGGTTGGCAGGTCTAATGTTAATTGTCTAATATTTTGTTCAAAGACTAGATATATTTTTGAAACGATGCATGTATGAGTTTTTTAATAATCATAATTGTAATCTTGGTTCCCAGTAAAACATTTGTAAACATCCTTTAAACCACATTTATTTGATAAGAAAAAAAAATCATTACATTTTGGTTTGTTTATGCTTTTAAACAAGAATGAAAAGTTTCCAGAATGAAATGAAAAATTGTTTACTGTCAAACTATGCAACAACAACAAAAAAATACTGATTAACCCTCTCTTGCAGTCATCATAATCTTTGAAGAACTGTATAAATGGCGAATATTACTGGTAAGTATCTTGTCTTCTGCATTATGTATGCTCGTGTGTGTGTGTGTCTGGATAAATTAGACTATCAGGATGTCTTATTATTCCCTTGAGTGTGACATCATTACATCTCCCTGTGAAGCTCGACTCATTAGAGATGCAGAGGTGTGAGACACTGGGAATTATGCAGCAGTCCTTCCTGGAATCCTGGAAAAACTGCTTAGTGTGTTCGTAGAAAATGAGTGCATGGATGAGAATAGCGTACATGCTCCCTAATAAATGCGTACTAGTTTAGTATATTCAAGACTGAGACTAAAGAGAGTCCGTTTCTTTGCAGATGATGCACAAGCAGAACTGGACTCAGTGGAAGCAGAGTTGGAGATGCTGGAACTGCAGATCTCTGAGCTGCTGGAGAAACAGACAAAGCTGAACTCCAGGAAAAACAAACTCTTGAAGATCCTGGAGGGAGCCTGCAGCTCGACACAGCCCTCCGGTTCCAGCAAAGCTCCTAAACCCTCATTCAGCAAACAGGACCTACAGCACTATGAGGAGTCAGGTATCACTCATTTTTAAATAAATTATATTTACAGTGCTTTTCACAATACATCCTGTTCCAAAGCAGCTTTATACTAAAAGTGACTGTTTTGGGATGTTTAAATAAAAATTTGGATGCATTAATTTAATCAAAATCAGTATAGCCTCAAAGTATTAAATGTTACATTGGTTATCTACATTATTTTTTTGTTCATTGCTCTGTCTTCAGATTTCTCATGGTCTAAAGAAGTTCAGGCAAAGCTGTGTAGTGTGTTCCAGATCTCCAAATTTCGTCCCCTGCAACAGGCGGCCATCAACCTTAGCATGTCAGGGAAAGACCTTTTCCTGGTAATGCCCACCGGAAGAGGGAAAAGCCTGTGTTTCCAACTTCCAGCTCTCTGCTCTAAGGGTTTGTGCTTTCATAGACATTTTGGTAGATGAAGAACATATTTTGAATGCTTTGATGTGAATTCCTGTGGTCGCATTTTCCAGGTTTTACGTTAGTTATCGCCCCGCTGGTGTCTCTGATGGAGGATCAACTGATGTCTCTGAAGTCCAAAAATGTCTCGGCGGTAACTCTTAATGCCTCCAGTACAAAGGTACAGTATGTATGACAGATGTACTTTGTACATCTAGATGTACTGTTTTGATTCACATTCAGGTGCTGATCTTCATGTGCATCTGCAGGAGGACTCTAAGCGGGTCCTGGCAGGGATGATCGATAAAGACAGCCCTTTCAAGTTGCTTTATGTTACCCCCGAGAAAATTGCCAAGAGCAAACTACTGATGTCCAAACTCGAAAAGGCCTATAAGATGGGTCTGCTGGCACGCATCGCTGTGGATGAAGTTCACTGCTGCAGTCAGTGGGGGCATGACTTCAGACCTGGTGAGGTTTTTCATCATCCAGGCTGAGTAAAGCTTCTAACCCATAATTAAATTGTACTTAATTCCTTTGCTTAGATTACAAGCTCCTGGGTATCCTAAAGCGCCAGTTCCCCAATGTCCCATTGGTCGGACTGACTGCCACCGCAACCAGTAACGTTCTTAAAGATTGCCAGAAGATACTATGCGTTCAGGAACCCATCACTCTGACGGCACCTTTCAACAGACCAAACCTTTACTACGAGGTATGCAAATCATTCTATGATGTCACTGCTAGAAGAGTACAGAGTAATTTGTCATCTCACTTCTACAGGTTCGTTTTAAAGAAAACATAGACTGTACCGACCAAATTGCAGCATTGATCAGGGGAAGATACAAAAACCAGTCAGGTAAATCAATTAAATTGCTATGAAGAGATGGTAGCGTGTGGTTAGAATAAACATATTGTTATTGTGCGTCGTGCTTTATGTTTTTAGAATTGTTTTAAATGGGCAGTAATGCTCACTATTTATTCAAAAACTTCTTAATAAAAAACAAACAAACAATGTTGTATTTGCAGGAATCGTGTATGTGTTCTCTCAAAAGGATGCAGAAGTTGTGGCTACGGACCTGCAGAAGAGGGATATTCTTGCTCAGCCTTACCACGCCAACATGGAGCCTTCAGATAAATCTCTGGTGCATCAGCGGTGGTCCTCCAAGAAGATCCAGGTTGCACCTACAGAATTACTGTTGTTGTCACCTGTTGTTTTGGGGTTTTTTATCTTATTTTTGTGTCTGTGCAGGTGGTCGTTGCCACTGTGGCTTTTGGAATGGGCATTGACAAGGCTGATGTGCGATTTGTTATCCATCACACCCTCAGCAAATCTATTGAGAATTATTATCAGGAGAGTGGACGTGCAGGTAGGCATCATCCTGATACTTTTATGTTGACGTTTTCTTTCTCACAAGATATTTATTGATCTTATTGTAAATAAATCACCTATGCAAATGTTTTTGAGCTCATCATTTATTAAAATGTCATAGCTCAATCTTGCTGTAAAATGACAGACTTTTAGTCTGACTTATGTAGTGCTGTGTGACTTGTAGTCTGCTTAAAGGAGTTGTTCACATTTAAAAAAACTTTTGCTGATAATTTACTCACCCCAATGTCATCCAAGATGTCCATGTCTTTCTTTCTTCAGTCGAAAAAAAAAAAGAAATTAAGGTTTTTGATGAAAACATTCCTGGATTTTTCTCCAGAGCAGCCCAGACTTAATTTTAATTCTCAACTTATTTATTTATTTATTTTTTAAATGAGTGATCGTTTCGCTTGATAAGACCCGTATTCATCATCTGGAATCGTTTAAAGCCCTTTGAACAGTTTGCAGTTTGCACTGAAAGTGTCTTTTGGACCTTGAACCGTTTGGTGCCCAGTAAAGTGCATTATATGGAGAAAAATCCTGGAATGTTTTCATCAAAAACCTTAATTTCTTTTTGACTGAAGAAAGAAAGACATGGACATCTTGGATGTCATCGGGAAGCGTAAATTATCAGCAAAATATTTTTTAAAGTGAACTACTCCTTTAAATCCCGCCCCCTTTCTTACAGTCAGTGTTCGTCAACTGCAATGTCACATTTAAATCTGCCTTCATCCAATCAACAACCAATGGATGCCAATGAAGTTCATGCCTTATATTTTTTTTATTATTAGGCAGCTTGTCTTGTCAAAATTCGGAAAAAAAGGGTCTGTTGCGACTTGACTTTTTTTTAACTTTACTTTTTATTCATTTATTTTTTTCCAGGAAGGGATGATGCCCCAGCAGATTGTATCGTGTTCTTTGGGTTTATGGATATCTTCAGAATAAGCACAATGGTTGTGATGGAAAATACTGGGCAGCAGAAGCTACAGAATATGATAGCATATTGTCAAAATGTGGACAGGTGAGTCAAAATACACAGGATATTCAGGATACCAATGACATGGCTCCTGGTTTTGGTCTCTAAATTTCTAAATTTTGATTTTTCAGTTTGTGAAACATTGTTCTGTGTTTTATCTTTTTTTCAGTGTTACTATATGGTTTATATTGACAGGAAGATCAGATTATTTAACTCTTTTGTCTCGTTCAGCAAAATGAACTACCCTTAATTCAAGTAGTTTTTATAAAGTTAAATTCCCTGTACACATTCACAGGCACATCTTTTAGCATGTTCCAAACAAGGAATTAATGCACCCACAGATAAATTATGAAAAGCATGATTAGTTCACCTCCCGAGTCTTTCGTTCCTTTGTCATGTGACCGGCGTATTAAGCAACCTATTACTAATGCCTTATATGTTAACTCCATGTGGCCTGTTAGTTTTATCAGTGCTTCTACACCTGTCCTGGCGACCTCCTCCCCCACTGCACACTTTGGTTGTGTCTGGAAAAATTAGCCAGCTGACTTGTTGCCAAAATGACTTTGTAGGCAGGGTTTGCTTATGAAAGCCGTAATGGTTTAATGATCTACAGCAAAATATAGCAAGATTTTGTGAAAGCCAAGCAAACATTTAATAAAACATACATTTACACTCAAACTGACCACCAACTGCAACGTTCAGATGTCACCTTCATTTTTTTAGCTCAACTGTCACAGAATGGATAGCACAGGATATCAAATCATTATGCTGCCTCCAAAAATCGATCAGATGAGACCGGAAGTTATATGACTGTTGATTTAAGGGTTGTTTGGAATTATTATTATTATTTTTGAACACAAGACTCTTATGTGTGTGCACAGGTGTCGCCGTGCTATGATGGCCGTTCATTTTGACGAAGTTTGGGATGATGATGAAGAGTGCAACCAAATGTGCGACGTCTGTCGTCACGGCAGTGGTAAGAGTTTATTACCTCCCTTAATGTGAACGAAAGATTTCCCGATTTCCCAACGGTTCAAGTTGGTCAAACAAATTGACCATGTTGACCAATACAGTAGAAAGCTGCTTGGTTTGAAAGCGACGTCTGTGTGAGTGATTTATCTACACCAGGGGTGCCCAATCCTGTTCCTGGAGATCTACCTACCTGCAGAGATGAGATCCAACCCTCATCCAACAGTCCTGTCTTTTATTATCAAGTGCTCCTGGGTCCTGAAGATCTTAAAGCAGCACTGTGCAGTTTTTTTGTTTACCTTTGGACTTATTGCAATGGTTATATGACTATTTTCGGGTTGAATATTTGGTGTCTTTAACTAGCTGGTTTCGGTGTGTTTGATCAGGGTTGAAGATAAACTTTGCAGGAAGGTACATCTCTAGAGGCAGGACTGGGCACCCCTGATCTACACAGACAATTTCACCTACTGTGACCGCAGGCCTCTTATGCAATGGGTGATGTTTTTATTTTTTCAGACTACATCACTATGGACATCACTCAGCATGCTCGAGACGTTGTTGAGATAGTAGAAATGGCCAGCTCTATGGATGAAAAACTGACCCCTCTAAAAGTCTGCGAGGCTTGGATGGGCAAAGGGCCCGCTAAGCGGCGCAAAACGATAAAGGTCACGTCCTTGTCACGCTTGGAGGTGGAGTCCATTATCATCCACCTTTTGTTGCATGGCTACTTCAGGTACTTTTACAGATTATGAACTATTTCCTTTCCATTTTTAGATTTATTCTCTAACTCTTTTCTCTTTTATACGCAAGTGAGGACTTTAGCTTCACTCCCTACACAACCCACTTCTACTTGAAGTTGGGCCGTAAGGCATCTCTCTTGAAGAGCGGCGGTCACTCAATCACTATGAAGATGAGGAGAGTGGTGTCACCTGCTACCGTAAGACAGTCAACAAAATCAGCAGGCGTCCTGTTTTTCTTCTAGCAAATTCTAGATTTAAACTTTTCCTAATAGTTGTTTGATTAATACTTTCCTGAACCTCTTTCAATGGTGACGATTGGCCAGATTCATTTCAAACATGTTACTTTTTGCTACATGACGGTAATACAAATATTTATTTCATTTATTTATCCATTTCATTTAGACTTTTGCTTAATTTAGTGATGTGTATCAAACTTCAGATTATATTTATTGAATCTGGCCTTTGGTCTCTGATCTGTAGTATTTACTGAGCTTTTTTGTTGATCTATTTTATTGTACCTCTTCCAGTCTTATTGTGTTTCAGGTAGATGCCATCATAGTGCTTGAGGGGAGCACCACAGTTCACGTAGTTAACTCTTTTTTTCTTTTTTTTTACCCAGTAACTAACACATTCATAAAGTGTTTGCGTAGCTTAGATTTTTACACCAAACTACAAATAGATAGCAATCAAATTAAGCTAAATGTCTCCACCCAATTAGTTTAGGTCAGTAAAACTAAAATAAAGTTTGTAAAAACATTTATTTTAGTAATTTACTTTCCCAATGCAGTCACATGGTGGGAACTACAGATCCACTCCCCAAACACAAACTTAGGTTAACAAATTTAGGTGATTTGAATAATGAAATTAATTTGTGATACAATGTTCATGAATTGACTTGCATTAGCTCATTTTAACAAAGTAAAATGAATGCAAGTCTTGAACATTTTGTCACGTTTTTTTTTTTTATCCACTTAAATTTGCTAATTTGAACAAGCCGCAAAAATCTTTTTACTTGATTCTAATTTAGCTTGGCTGTGTCAAAGATCGTACTGTATCCTTAAATTCTCTAATCAGAATCGTTTCAGTGGTATGTGATTTATGTGCCTTTTTAAGTAGAATATTGTCTCAGAAGATCAATGTGGTCCAGTTGATGCAAAAACAAATTGGACTTCTTCTCAGTTTATGCATTTACCAGCCTCTAAACATCCCTTTCCCAGCAGTCATAGTGGAATTGGATTGTCTACAAACAGTGGCCCAAAATGTAACACAAGCATTTTCCTATCACGAGTTAAACCTCTTCAGTTGGAGTTGTCATGGTCCCTCATTGAACATGCAGTAACCCCTTTTATTTCTTGTGTTCCTACAGTTTATAGTGACCACTCACCCAAATGATTTTAAGACCCCAACAGGTAAAGAGCTGTTGTGCCACCCCACAGGTAAAGAAAGTGTCAGAAAGTGCCGGGGAGAAAAGTAGTACCAAAGTAGAAGGAAAAAGACCGGCTGACAGTGACTACAAAAAATCAGTGGCCAAGAAAGTCAAGACTCTTCCCTAGTCCGTAAGGAGAAGAAAGCAAAAGTACAGTTCACTTACTCCTTATTCTCAAAAGCATGTAGACATTGCTTAAGAAACATGTAAGCATTTAATGAGGGAAACATCTACCACTATCTTTTTTTTTTCTTCCCGCTTGTGCTCATATTTTACAAGTGTCACCTGTCATGATGTTTATGTTTAAATCAAACCTCATTTATTATTTCTTTGCTATGACATATTCTTAAAATCTTCCATTTAATGTGTCCGCATGTGGTGTTTTGATGTGCATGGAGTTTTGTAGAGAAAAGTCTTCATTAGAATTTAAGCTAACCATAACCAATAACCTTACTATAGCTTTGCATTCATCTTAAAGACAGACCTACAAATTTTGATAACTCTAATTTCTTCTCTTTCCTCAGGATGATCAAGCAGTTGATACACAAGAGGAAGCAGAGATCGATGTGTCCAATATGGCCATTGAGGGACAAAGCAAAACTAAAATCTTTAAGAATCACCAAAACATAGAGAAGAGACTCGCTCAAAACCACATTGAAAGTCTTGTTTCAGAAGCAAGCGAGTATGTAAAGCCAGCCTCCGTATTTGAGGTTGATGTTGAGGTCAATCTTGTACAAGCACAGAATTGTGCAAGTGAAAAAGAAAAGGGTCTTAAAAACGACCCCGTACAGCTGAAAAAGAGGCAAAAACCACTGCCAACCAACAGTGCTGCTAATGCCAACCAAGCGAGAGCCAATCTGGTTAGCACTCCTTCTGAGCTATCTATCATCTCTTCAGCTGCCGTGGAGGAACTACACCATCTGCACAGTTACTATAACAAACAGTTAAGAAGAATCGACTACATTTCCCAAGAGCATTTGGAAAGCTCCCAGCCTGGGATGCTGACTTGTATGAGTGAACCCTTCAAAAGCCTCCGTTTCCCTTCGAGGACGACCATATCCAGAGGTGCCAGGAATTTATGGACTCGTGTTAGTATGAGGAGAAAGCTCATACAGTGAATTATGTTTACTTTCTAATTTCTGTTCTGCAAACTTGACCTTAATTGTTCAATAGTTTGAATATGTAAATAATCTTTTTGTTAAATAAACACATTTGGAGGGTTCTGACTGCCTGTTTTTCTCCTCAAAAATAAATAAATAAATAATTAGAACTGCTGTGGTGGTTCAAAACTCCAAAAATATATAAATAATAATTTTAGCCTTATATTTCACATCTTTCAAACGACCAAGATTGGTTGGCGATTTCATAAAACATTTTAAAGGAAATAATTTTGTTTTGTTTTTATGGAAACCCTGATACATTGTTTTCAGGGTTTGCCCTTCAGAAGAATAGCATTTATTTGGGGGAAAAAAACAAACATTTTTTTGGTAACATTATTAAATAAACTATTATTTTTTATACATTTAATGCATAATTGCTGAATAAATATAATGTCTTTTAGTGTATGGGGGGGCTCTTATTACAGTTAAGTTACCACGGACCTTTATTTTGAAATAACGAAACCCAAACAGGTCATGTGCATTTGTTTGTACTGAATGCAAGGTGTATCTGAAAATGAGTGTTTTTACTGCTGTTTAATACATTTTAATCGTTAGCCTGCAGTGTGTATAGTTGAAAGGTCATGCGCTCGGTGAGTTATGTGCAGCGCGTGAGTTTAGACTTCACAGGAACACTCTTTCCTCACGCCATCTGTCTTGGAGATGCAGATAATGACTCTGTAAGTTACAAAAGTGTCTTTTAGTTTATGACTCGGTGTATTATATCCACCAGGTCATATGACTAGTGTTTAACGTCATATCGCTGTCATATTCACTAGTAGCTATATGTTTCAGTAGCTAAGTTTTCTGTACATAAAGTAAACCAGATGTTTTTCTGCAGCTGAATGAGCTGGTGGTGGGTGACACTAGTGGGAAGCTGTACATCTATAAAAATGATGACTGTAAGCCGTGGATCACGCGAACATGTGTTGGCATGGTGAGGAGCATCAATTAATAATAATAGTGACTAATGCCTTGGTGAATGTATTTGTATTAATCAAGCTGTTTTTATTCACAGTTAACATGTGTTGGAGTGGGAGATGTTTGCAACAAAGGAAGGGTAAGATTATAATTCTCTTCCTTCCTTGCAAAAAACACAAAAAAAGGTGCCTGTGATGGTATCAGATGACCTATTGATCAATGATTACTTTATTCATGTACCATGGCATTTAAATAGTAATCCAAGATAATTACAAGGATGTCATCATGGTAAACCGTGGTATATGACGTTTTTGATGGGACCAAAATCATTATATATATATACAAAATATTGCATTTTTAATGTAAAATTATTCATTATAATTTATAGATAATATATTGATTGTGTATGTATTATATTTATAGTAAATACATTATTTTAATCAAATTAAATGTTTATTAATTATAATTAGATTTATAGAAAACATATTAAATAATTATTTTGTGTGTGTTATTCATAGTAAATACATTATTATTTAATATTATACTTATTAATTATCATTTTTATTTTTAAATGTAATCTATGTATGGATTTTTGGTAAAACCTTATAACTTTTTATGCAAGTAAATACATAATTTGTTATGTTATTAATAGCAATTCATATTTATCAATGAATTATACTGTCTACATATTATTTATTTATTTTTATTTAAAAAAACAACAACAACAACAACAACAACATTGTTGTTCCATGGTACTTTTTGTTAGTTTTCTTTCATTTTATTAATTATAATAATCACAAATCTTATGTATTTAAGTTTTTCATTGCTTTTGTTAAATTACTTTCTTTCTTCTCTGTCAGAACTTTGTTGTGGCAGTGGGTGCGGAAGGCTGGTTTCACCTGTTTGATATCAGTGCTTCTGCAGCCAAGTCAGACTCCTCAAGTCAGCAGGACGGCTCGATTGGTGATGAACAGAAGCCCAGTTACACCCAGCACATCCCCGCCAATACCAAAGCCATGCTCATCAGTGATATCGGTGAGGAGTTTGCATATGACGTGCTCAAATGTTTCTAAACCTTTTTAAGTCATGAGAATATTGAAGTGTTTGTGGCATGTAAGATGGAGACGGGCGCTGTGAGCTTGTCGTTTGCTACACGGACCGGGTGGTGCGGGCCTTCAGGTGGGAGGAACCCTCTGATGCTTCAGATGTGAGCTCTGGTCAGCTGGTCTTACTGAAGAAATGGCTTCTGGAGGGTCAGGTACTGAACTAGATGCACCAAACGTCAGGCCAACATGAAGTCAAACTACTATTACAGCCTTTCTGCTTTCACCAGGTTGACAGTCTCTCAGTAAACCCAAGTCCAGAAGGTCTCCCTGAGCTCATGGTGTCTCAGCCTGGCTGTGGCTATGCTATTCTGACGTGCTCTTGGACACAAGAGGGCGCCGCAGGACCTGGGGAAGAAAACACGGCATCTCCTAGCAAGTGAGAGAATCTCAGTGAGGTACTAAATAATGCAAACCATATCCAGAACTGGATTTGGGAGTAATTCAGGGTGTGTTGTGTGTACCCAGGGAGGGTTCTTCCAGAGACGTTGTCCTTCATCTTACCTCCGGACGCATCCATAACAAGAACGTGTCCACTCATTTGATCGGTAGCATTTGCAGAGGTACTGAGAGAGCATGCTCACACACATTTAGATTGAATATTGGGGATGCAGCACACATATCCTTACAAAATTTGCAGCTGGCCGAGTATAGTTTGACTCACTGGTAGTTGTGATTTTTACTTGCTCTCCCAAGATTTTCACTGGCTCACCACCACCACAACCACACAAAAAAAAAAAATGGTATTGATTGATATTTGATGTATGGTTACATGCTCATTTTTACATTTTTACTTTTCTATCTAACACTTACTTAAATTATTATTATTTTTTACCATCTATTACAATGTTATGATGATTTCTAAATTCACTTGTAGGATTTAAAATAATTGATAGCTTGTAGTATTTTTTTGTTTGTTTGTTTATTTACACAATATAATAAAGAATTTTATTTATAAATTTTAATTATGAAATTTAAAATAAATTATAAATAAAAGTATTTTTAATAAATACATGTTATTTTAATTAAAATAATAAAGTGTACATATCATATTTAGGTTACTTTTTATAATTATGTTTATTTTAAATAATGACATGTTAAAAAAAACTAAAAAATGTGTATAGAATATTTTTATATTAAAAAGTTTTTGTAATTAATAACAAAATAATAATCAAGATATATACATAAAAAAATTAATATATATATATATTATTTAAAATATAAATATATTATTAAAAAAATAAAAAAATACTATTTTACTCTTAATTAATTTATTATTTTAATAATCATTTAAAAAAAGAATTGTAAATATAGTATATATATGTAAATGTATTTATATAATAATATGTCTATTTTAAAAAATATGTATTAGTATATTTATATTAATTTGTATTATATTTTTTTATTAAAAAATTTATTTATAGCATCATTATGTATAAGAGTTGTAATATTAGTCCATCACTAATCACAAATCATTCTCAGAATTTAACAAACAAACAAACAAACAAATCTATTGACATAACCTATTTCTGTTTTCTGCAGGTTCTAAGGATGATTCGTCTAAAGGTGGCCTGTTTGCTCTTTGCACCCTAGACGGTGAGTGTCTGATTAGTCCATTATCTGTCAGAGGTTATTTGATATAGTCCAGCACATGTGTTTTCTCTGTTCACTCTGTTCTTTGGACACTCTGGGCTCAGGTGTGTATAAAGATTGGCTTTTTACTCTTCGTCATTCTCCATGGCCACTCAGTTACACACTACAAATTCAAAACTGTTATATATATATATATATATATATATATATATATATATGAAGAGTTCAGATGCAAAAGCCTCTAAGTGCCATTTGAAATTTTCTTCTTTAATGATGATTTTTTATCAAGCTTGTATATTTAAGTTCAGTGATTTCACTTAAATGGCAATGATAATTACCTATTAATTGTTATTTAAGTGAAATTACTGAACTTAAATATACAAGTTTGATAAAAATCATCATTAAAGAAGAAAATTATTGTTTGGACAGCAGTATCTATCTATCTATCTATCTATCTATCTATCTATCTATCTATCTATCTATCTATCTATCTATCTATCTATCTATCTATCAAAAACAGCAGTGGATTGATGTTATAGCTGTTGTTGTTTTTCATTAGATTTTGTGTTTGTTTTTCATTGAATTCGTCTTTCAGGAACTTTGAAGCTCATGGACAGCTCTGAGAAGCTCTTGTGGTCTGTGCAGGTGGACCACCAGCTTTTTGCCCTCCAGAAGCTGGATGTCACTGTAAGTCTGTGTGTATGTGGCCCCAAAAACCATTTAAGTGCATACACAGTATATATAATTGAACCACATATAAAATATCAAACCATCTGCAAAGAAATTATACTAGAACTTTTCTTTGTTCATGTTTCATAAATGTTTGACTACAAGAAAATGCAACAAAAAATGAAAGTGCTCTACCTGATGTGTATGAGAGTTTGGTATGTTTTTGTACATGTGTTAAGGGTGATGGGAGAGAGGAAGTGGTGGCCTGTGCCTGGGATGGCCAGACTTACATCATCGATCATACGCGTATGGTGGTCCGATTCCAGTTTGATGAGAATGTGAATGCATTCTGTGCTGGTGAGCTTCTCTTATAGTCTCTATCAGTGTGAATCTTATTATTTTCGGAACAGATTCACCAAAAAAAAAAAAAATCATTGTGAAATTATTTAGCATATTTTCCCCAAATTTTCATTACTGTAATTAAAAAAACAAGTTGTTGTTGTTACACTTAACAGCATGATCAAATGCTTGTTTTAATATTGGCCAAACAACATTTACCCCTGGATCCACAGACAAGGTTTAAGTCTAGTCTCAGACTAAAATGGGCATGTTTGAGATGTTCTAACTGAAAGCAACTTACTAACTATCTTAAAATATGTCAGTGCCATTGTTTTGTCTCAAGATGCACACCAGTAATGTTTTTCTAAGGCACGTTTATGTCCTAATTTAACAAAGGTCTAATCCTGGCTTAATAAGCCTTGTCTGTGAAACCAGGTCTGC